TTATCGTACATTTTCCGATGTCATGCGCACTTGAATTCTGCTTACTTAAGGGAATTTCGAAATCGATAATTAAGTGCGGATGACATCAACTTTGATAGTTTCATATTTTCAAATAACTTTCTTATTTCAATTTCCAATTTTTCCATAATGTTTAGCTTTTCTTATATTTTCTATATTGTACCTTTATTAAGGTCAGTCGTCGATTTAAGGTTATATATCCTTGATATTATAACTTGTGGGAAATACGCCCAGTTATGTAAATATAATCTTACATAGAGTGACGTAACATTAGTATAAAAAGGGTTAGTTTACCTAGCTCTAGAGTTTTTTTGTAAGGACCTTTTGAGTACAATAAACCTGTTGTGTGCCTACTTGAGTCGTCACTTGGAGTACCTCCCGTAGTGCTAAAAGCGAGTGCCTCAACGTAACCCAAGACCCAACTTACAGTGGGATAAAACCATTTCACAGCACTATACCATTAGGAAAGTAAGAATGGGTGATTAAACACCATACATCATTTGTTTTTAAATGGAGATCCAGCACACATCATACCATTGTGATTAAATTTATTAGGTGAGCAGCCATGGATTGATATCACTCGAAAAAGCATTTGCAAAATATGTACCACAACAGTTTCCTCTTTCTGATATGGTTACTATAATAGCTCCATACTGGGCAGATGTTGCACAAAGGAGTAAAGGTGGTATATGGTACAGACAAAACTCCACTAAACATCTACTAGAAGTTGCATCAATCGATGTTAGAAATGCTTTCCTAGAATTCCAACACTTCTCGGCAATATGGATGTTTGTTACTACTTGGGAGAAAGTAACATTCTATCAAAGTACCAACAAGGTAGCGTGTTTTAGTGCAAATTAAAAAAGAATTTTGATTTTGAAAACGATATGGATACTAGAACATGTAGTTTAACTAAAAGATCTCAACAAATTTAAGAACAACGTGATGTGCCACCGTACTCACCCAGATGCGCAGTTATGAATTATCTTTCCTGAACAGAGTAATATCAAGTTGATATCGATAGCTTTCGACCAGACCGATTTTCGGTCACTTTGTAAAGTACATAAAAAGTACTTATTTCAAGTAATTAAAAGTTTTGCATGTATGAAGGTCGCCAATGATTTTTTTTTTTTACTTTTTATTGATATCTTATTTTTGCTGTCATCATCATCGTCTTTAGGTTTTATACTTTTCCCTATTTTCAATATGATATTCATACTTTGCCTTTTTGCTGGACCTGTTCATATTGTGATTTTAGAACATCACCAACACTTTCCAGTTGATACTGCTGACCGATGGCCTCTATTCGTTTGTTCGTTTTAACTACCAGGAAATTTCATGGACTTCAGCGACAACAAGTGGAGGCAACTCCAGAAATGGCCTTGGTGGAAATGAAGCAGGGGTATATAACAAATTAACTTTATTTTCATTTTGAATGATTATAGTTTTGAAAAACGACACGATCATAGATTGCATTTGATCTGTGCATCAATAATCTTTTTGAAACGTTTTTTTATTAGTGTGGATTCAACGCTGGATATGGTAACTATTTCTACAACGTATCTTGGAATAGCTTTCGAAATATAAGAGTACTGGATCTCCCATTCAAAACAAATGTTGGTGAACCAGGAGTGTGGATGTTCAGGACAGACGGCATCACAATACAAGAACCAACAGGACGAATCACAAAAGGTAATCATCATCATCTTCTTCATCATCATCGTCAAAGTTGATTTTAAGATATTTGAATATATGCTGAGACAGAACATTCACATTCACCGATGTCCTCTCATTTCATTTCATCCCATTTTAACGAGGTTTTGGCTATCGCAGCTCTGCTTTTACGGTACATGCGAGGGCATTGTTTCTTGCTTATTCTCAAGTGCACATTCTCATTGTTTTGAATGTACATTTTGGGAAAAATAAATTAAATGGATTTCTAATGGTTGTGACGTCACGTCGGTGAATTCCATTTGATCCCTATATGCTCTCTTACAGACGTTATCCTTGTCACGCTACGCGATAACGGCTGATAGTATTACTATCTAGAGTGGTAAAAAAAGAAAAAAGAAAAAAGAAAAAGAAATTTTGGAGTGTCGTTTGAAACAAACAAAAAAATATATGCAATTTCATGAAAAGTTGAGATCTCAAAATCAACTTAAAGGATTATACAGCTATACCATGATAAGGTACATATAGACCACTTGCCATGACCACGTTCAAAAAAGGTAAGACTTGACTTACAAGTAAAGATAAAATCTATTTCTAACTTTTAAGTTTTGTATTTTTCAGTGCATCTCAAACGAATGTTGCATGACGTAGTATTGGTTGGTAATCAATTGTCATTTTATAGGTTGAACAATTCATAAATATTTTGTAGCATTTTGTTGCTTGTGCATTTTTGAAAAGAACATTAAATACATGAGATTTTTATGTAGGTGGATTACTTTGTTTTAAAACCAGAACTATCCGTTATCTGGTCTCTATCTACATTTTTCGCATTTGTGGTATTTGCTTTAGTGAACAGGAAGCCCGAAAAAATGGTAGGCTGCGAAGGAGACTATATTTGATTTCCCCTCTCCAAAAATAGACAATAAACACCAGCCATATTTTGACACACAATACGTGACATTTCTAATGGACATTTATTACAGCATAAAGTCCTCCATACTCTAATACTCTATTGATATATTTTGTATTTACCAGGTGACCATCAATGGAATAAATATTAATCCAGAAATAATTTGTAAGTTTTAGGTCTAAACCGTTTCCTCTTGATGGTCATGCTATAATTGCTCCATTCTGGGCTGATGTTGATAAGGGAGGTGATATATGGTACAGACAAAACACTACCACGCACATATTAGAAGTGGCATCACTCGACGTAAGAAAGGCCTTCCCAGACTTCCACCGATTCTCTGCAATATGGATGTTTGTTGCAACATGGAAACAAGAATGAGGTATTGTATAGTCTGCATAGGAACATGTCAGAAGATGTTTTAGGGTCGTAAGGCATGGGCGGTGCGGATAGTGTCATGGGGGACTGCAGCGATTGATGTCGAACGCATGTGCAGTTACGCCGACTGAAAATATTACAAACTGGTGGAGAAAATATGCTAATTCCTTTGTTTTCTATAGTTTATATTAGTAGTAATTTGCATACTATCTGTTTAACGGATTTAGTGCAACCACTATATATTTCAATCTACCTTCTGTAATATTTCAGAATATCACCAACACCTTTCAGACGGCATTGCTAACCGATGGCCGCTATGCGTTTGTTCGCTTTACATACCATAACATCACATGGACTTCAGCGAAATCAAGCGGAGGAAACCCCAAATGCGGCCTTGGTTAGTATTCTTTATATAAAGAATAGGGTCAATGACCCTAGCAAAGGTCTCAGGTTTGAAACCTGATCATTGACAAATGCAGGATCTCAACCGATTGCAATGAACAGCCAAGAGTTGTTATATTTCACTTTATACATATTCAATGTGGGATGACAAGAGCGCTTTGTAAAGTATTTGGGCATGATCAGTTTGCCCTATTGCCAGAACATATTTGTACGTCAATTTCTCCAAGAATTTTAACGGATTTGAGTTTCAAATTAGTGTTTTTGAAGCCATTTAAAACACTCGAGATCGTGTTTTATTAGGTATAACCTAATAATATAACCTATTATACCTGGTAAAACACTCTCTCTCGTGTTTTAAACTATACTAAAAAAATCGATTAAGTCAGCACAGTAGAAACTCACTATCAAAACTTGCCTTCGACTAGGGACGGAAAATACATGACAATAGGGAAATCTGTGGCGGACGGTCGTCAGTCAATGGATATAAACTCTTGGAAACTGAAAAATAAGGATTGATACATGAATATGTAGATTTGTGGATTGAATATTTTCTTTTTTCATTTCATTTTTTTATAGTGTGGTTTCAACGCTGGATTTGGTAGCTATTACTACGACATAACTCGTAATGGTTATCGAAACATTAGTGTACTGGATCTCTGTGTCGAATCAAATGTCAACAAAACACGATTGTGGTTGTTCAGGACAGACGGCATCACTGAATACAGGAAGGACATTGATCCGGTCATCTCTTTGAGTTATAAGTTCCGAATCACAAATGATAATCAAAATTAATATATGTTTTTTTGCCTTTTGATTTAGGGCTGTATAATTTTGAAACTAGAATATAAAAATACTTTTATATCTCTAATGAATCGTCTGTTAATTTCAGAGAATTTTTAACGGATAAGGGAGGGGGCGGAGTTTGGGGCTGGTCACTAAATTGGCATTGAACTTTGTAGAAACAAAATAGAGGCCGTCTCTAAGAAAGCAAAGAAAAAAAAAATGTGATACACCCCAAATATAAATATTACAACACTTGTGTGAATTCTCGGGTGATGACTGGCCGTTTGAATTGTTTCAATGAGAGAAAAGACACCATCACATCTAGCGCGCACGCTCAGTTGAAAGAATAATAACAATCCTGACTAAAAATATAGTAAAACAAATATGAATAACGCCACGGATACACGTTGATTAACGTCCACCCAAGCTGGTTTGCTGTTGAGTTGAAACAATTGAGTGGTTTCCTGAAACTTTAAAGGAACCACCTCAGTTTTGGACATAATCCTTAGTCAATGCGCCTTTCTGATTTTGCTTTGTACTTTGTTGAAATACGTATTCAGCGACTCTTGAAATTGGTATTCGCCGAAGAGGCTTTTTTCCCATTATATCTATTTCATTATTTTTTATTATGTTTTTTGCAAATTTACATGCCAAATTACATGCACGAGCCTTTAGAGCGAGCTCCGCGATTTGTGGCCCAGAAGAAGACTGCATGATATAATCTCAGTTATAAAATTTTTGATATATAACGCGCGCTCTGATTGGATGACGACCGTGTTTATATCAGAGGACAGACGGACACGACTTACCGGCAAAATTTTCTTTTCGCTCGAAAAATTTTATAAWAGAAATATAAAACGGCCGCTTGTGTCTCTGTCCTCTGATATAAACACGGTGGGAGTTGAAAAGCACTAGAGAAGTAAGAGAAACACTCGCTACGCTCGTGTTCCTAAGCTTCAATTGTTGCTTCTCTCGTGTTTTTCGAACTCCTACGTGACCGCGTTTATATCAGAGGACAGAGACACGCGCGCCGTTTTATATTTCTTAAATTAGGACTAAGAAATCCCGGTTTTATACACAAGTACAAACAAATTATCACAACGACGGTTGGATGGTCGTTCCTTATTCAATTTCATGTACATTGTCTTCGTGCAGTGAAGCTACTGTGTTGATATTATATTAACTGAAAATTTCTTAATGAAAAAAAAATCATGAAAAACAAATTCCATGGGCCTTTCGAAGTGATGGAATGATATGTCTCATCAATGTTTTTACTACACTGTGAATTCTCACTCGCTGATTGGCTGACTACATCATGTCAATAGCAGACATAATAGCAGCCGAGACGATCTTGTAGAAAAAAATGGCAAGATAAATAGTGAAGCTTGCATTAAATGACTAATTGGTAGTGCTAGTGTCCGGGAAATGCTGTGCTGAAACTGCAGAAGTTGCAATGTTTAATGAAATATTCTGGTATTTTAACCACATGATAAGAAAAAAATGATGTGTTTCATCAAGAAACAACCTTCTCCGGAACAGAGAGCTGCAATTTCTTCCTTCAGCGGATTTTTCTTTGTTCTAAGTTTATCTCTCTTGTATAGCTTCCTCTAACCCCTTCGTGTTTTTCTATAATGTTCAAGGATAGTTTTTATTCCGTAGAAAAATATCAAAACTTGATATAAAACAACTTGAGTCGAATGCTGTCCCGTTTTGTTGATTTTTATTCCTGCTCTATATATAACATTAACAGTACACTTCCTTTAATTGATTATCCTAGTCCTTGGATTGCCAAGTTCTGATTTTACGCTTACAGCGATAGCAAAGTTTCGAGATTAAAAGTTTACATGTAATTAGCCAAATTTGTTGTTCAATCTTAAACGGAAGTAGAATGCGAACAATATAATACTAATCACGAAATTGTGCTAAGCAGTGCTAGTAAAAAAAAGAAAATTAAGGAAAACATGATACCATATAGTACTATACAATAACATACACGCACAAAACTTTGTTTACCTCGTATTATTCATTGTTTTTTCTTGGTTTCGATACAGTTGATCCGTCTAGTATTTGATTAGCGTTTGCCCAAATATGGTACAGTTTAAAGAAACTGTAAACCGCATATTTCATCGAACATTGATCAATATTGTCTTCACGGACAAAATTTTGTAAACACGCTTATTATTCAAATTTTATTCTTGGTTCCGATACAGTTGATCCGTCAATCATTTGATTGGCGTTTGACCAAATATGGCACTGTTGGAAAGAAACTGGTTTCTAGTTTGTAAAACGCATAAATTGCATCGAAAATTTGCAGAAAACTCATTTGGCAATGACAGCATCAGTCAAGATGGCAAAGATAAGCAATACTTTTCTCTTCGTACTTTTGCAAATATTCCTTTTTCGCCCATCTTCGTCTGCTGACTTGCATGAGCTCATTCCATTTGGTGCAAACAACGGTGACATCTTGATTGGTTCAGGAGATGATTCAACAAATTCCGGCAAAGTCCCTATAACGACAGGATTTCGTTTCTTTGGCCGGGATTTCACTTCATTGTATGTAAGTAACACTTTTGTATACTGACTGGCTTTGCTAACGGCATTAATTAATGTAAGAGGCTTACGCGTAAATGGTAAGTTTGATATGATCAATAGTTGTCGATTGTCAAAGGGACTGGGTTTTACTTTTTGTGCATTGTTCGAATGTGATGGAGTAGGCGTGTAGGGATACACACTCTCAAAGGGCGTGGCGTACTTGTGTTAATAAATTTTAGGATTATGTTTTTCGGCATAAAACCTTATTGAAGATAGTTATAATGGCAAAAAAGCAACAAAAAAATAACAAATACAGAAAAAAAATCATCAAAGAAACAAAAACAAGCTACAACCAGTGCAGTGTGTCATCATCAGTAGTCGGAAAACATATAAAAAAGACTAATAAAACGCTACATTATTACTTATGGGTGTCGGCCGCACAGTACGAAGGCGTGCGTACTTACCGACGACTACGCATGTCCCGGCGCATTTGGTATATTTAACTTTTTTTTTATTTTTTTGGCGGTTCCTCACTTGTACTAATCAAACGTTAACTTCTAATTACATTCATTATAGGTTAACATAAATGGAGTAATCACATTCAAAAAACCATTTTCGAAGTATGTGCCAAAACGGTTTCCTGTTGATGATACTGTTATGATCGCTCCATTCTGGACTGATGTTGATGCCAGGAAGGGAGGTGCTATATGGTACAGACAAATCACTACCAAACATGTCCTGAAAGTGGGATCAACCGACGTAAGAAAGGCTTTCCCAGAATTCCCGCAATTCTATGCAAGATGGATGTTTGTTGCCACATGGGAGAAAGTACCATTTCATGGAACCAAACATAAGGTAAGTGTGTAACCTGTTTATTGCTTGGGATATGTAACTCCTAATGAAGGTTGGGGAGTTTATGTTTTATAAATCGAAAACCAAAAAGTGCTTCCATCTTTATCAGTTTTTATCGTCTTGCTAGCTTCTGTGATTTTATGGTATGTTTGTATCCGTTCAATGGTGATTTTTCCTACCCTTTGATGTCATTTTTTGACATTGTCAGTGTTTCTTCTTTTATAATTGATTTATATTTTCTCATTTTTTAATAACTTCAGAAAGTCACCAACACCTTCCAAACGGTATTGCTAACCGATGGTCGTCACTAATTCGTTTGTTTTAACTACCATGACATAAAATGGACTTCAGCGACAACAAGTAGAGGCAACGCCAGCAATGGCCTTGGAGGAACTGAAGCAGGGGTATATACACAAAAATTGCTTTGAACCAATATAGTGAATTAATAGATCTAGAATAGCTTAGTGATACAATTAACAATATCCAACTTTATAAAGCATTCATAAAGAACAAAAGGCAAAGATAAGAGACAAAATAGTTTCTGCTAGAACAATTAAAAATAGGAGAAATTGCTTAAAGACAAATACACGCTGGACACAATTTCTTAGAATACAATCTGGGTGATTGATTTGCGACCAGGCCTGCATATGAATTCGCCAAGGTTGTAAGCCAGTGAGCCCGTGCATTTTTGTTAAGCGGTCATATTTGAAAGTGTAAATAAAGGAAAGGGAAAACCCGCAGCTCTCCTTTCACTCAGATAAACAGTACAAGTCGTGTTAAATTTATTTACAAAACTAAACAAATGATTATAGAATTAAACCTTTAAGAATTGAATGCTCATATCAAACATTTTCCACCTTAAATACACACGTGTTTTTCAGAAGGGAATTTAGTTGAACTTTTTTCACGATGGAATTTTGTTTTGAGTCGTTTCAACATAAACAGTCGCTATCA